AAGACACAGAACTTAGAATACAGAACCAAGAGAGACAGAACCTAGGCACAGAACCTCCACAGAACGTTCTCTAGAGACAGAAGAACTTCGCTGGAGAGAACATGGCAAAAGTTCCTGGACAGAAACTGGCCTCAGAACCTAGAGACAGAACCTAGCGAGAGAACATGGCAAAAGATCTTGGACTGAACCTGACTACAGAAATTGGCAAGAGAACCTGACTAGAACAGGGTAACTGAACCTGGCTGGAGAACCTAGCGAGGGAACTTGGCAGCAGAACCTGGCTGGAGAACCTAGCAAGAGAACATGGACACAGAACCTGGCTGGAGATCCTAACCAGAACTTTGCTGGAGATCCAGACCAGAACTTGGCTGGAGATCCTGGCTAGGCTGCTGATCAACTGAACGCTGTCTCCGTGTCATTCCTTCTTCACCGACTCCATCCACACCTTTGGGAACCCCTGGACCCGCTGGGGTTGGACCCAAGCATCTAACTGAATTATAAATATGGGTTTAGAGAGCCCCTTTTCCATTAGACTGTGAACACCTTGAAAGCAGGAGCTGCAACCAACAGTCTTTGTATGGCTAGTGCTTAGCAAAGTATCTGAATCATGGCAGATGATGGAGAAAAATAGAACTGGTATTTGATATTGAGAGTTATACCTGCTTTAGGTTCTTGGATGGTAACATGGAGGCAGTTGTAGGTGTCCTCATGGTCTTATGAAGGCAAATTATTGCAGGTGAATTTTGACATTTATGCATAATGCCAAACTCAATCTTTTGTTGTTGTTTTTTTAATTAAAGTACAGTTGACACACAATATTGTATTTGTTTCAGGTGTATAGCATAGTGATTTAACCTTTCTATACCTTACAATGTGATCACCACAAGTCTGGTAACCATCTGGTGCTGTATAAAGTTATTATGATATTATTGACTATATTCCCTGCAAACATGAGGTGAAGCAAAAGTTTGGGAGGGCCGGCAAGTACTGTGAGGCAGTTCAGGCTCCCTTCCACCTTGAACTTCCACAGGAAGCTTATCCGCATCTTGGCTTATCCTAAGCAAATATCGCTTCAAATGTAAAATTTCATGGTCACCTATTTTGTTGAAACATTGTGCATATTTTATTCTTAAGGAATTTTATGCCACTTAATTTATAGATTATTTCTAATTGTATATAATCTGAATTTTGTTGGACTCATGTTCTACTATGGAATATGGAACATGTAAGTTTTCAATGACTATTTTATATTCAGTATGTATATCACACATTGTGACATAAAAATTTTATCAAACATTGTCTTGGCATTGTTATCCTAGTAGTTGGGAAAACATTTATTTTTGAGTTCCTGAATATGTAATGTGTCGTATAAAATTCACATACATATGCAAATATACAAATAATAGAAAAGATAGAGAGGCAGATTTAGACATGAATAGCATTTGCTTTGAGAGTTGCTGACTGTTGAGGATGATTATAAAAACCAGATCTGTGATATCCAGGGTAATCCTCTCTTTTGCCAGTAAAAACATACCGTGGGTCATGCCCTCTGTGATCCCTGTGAGGCAGGGCACTACAGGCTGTTGAAATGTCCAATATTTCCCTGACTTGGGAAGAACTTGGGGAAGACAAGGCACACGCACAAGAAATAGCAGCAGTCTTGTAGAAAGAACTCAATTACAACAATAAAAGCTAGCCTCCCTGAGACTTACTATGCAACAGCTTCTGAATTACGAATTGCCTGGTTTAATTGCCTATAGTAAATTATTTGATTCTCAGAACAATTGATGGGGTAGACATTATTTTCATTGTTATTATTCCCAGTACCCAAACTATAGCATAAACATGTTCAGTGATTTGGACAAAGTTGAGCTGTCAGGGAATGGTAGAATTAGGGTTGAAACCTATATTTAACCACACAGTTGTTTTTTCAAAACCATTGTTAGATAATGGGGCAAGTTTTGCCATCTGTTTGTGAAATACACTGTAGAGACATTGAAAATTTTGAAAGAAAAAGTGATGTTACTGAAAGGCTGACAGACACCAAGTATCACACAATATCCCATACCCCATGGGCCAGGGACTTAAGAGAGTCCAGATAGTACCATTTCAATAGGCATTTAAAAATGTATATATGGTTAGGAATAAATACATGAAAAAGGTTGGAAAAACATGCACCAAACAATTAATGCTTACTACTTCTATGATGGGGCTTAAGCAGGGGCAGGGTTGATGGGTGGGACACTTAGGAGAAACTTTTGTTTTTTATTTCTCATTCTTTGGGGGGGGGGAGCTAAAATTAGGAGTGATTTTAAATTTAGTAATTTTATTTGTTTATTTTCATACTCAAACAACTACTAAAATAGTAGTAAAAACTGTTGGTACAATGATTCAATGCTAAGACCATTTAAAAATAAACCCTAAACTATGAAAACCAAAGTTGAAAAGTTTTTAAACTTTTTTTCCTCTTGTTTTAGAATCACGGGCGGTCTCTAGACCAGCGGTTCTCAACCTGTGGGTCACGACCCCTTTGGCGGTCAAACGACCCTTTCACAGGGGTTGCCTAAGACCATCCTGCATATCAGATATTTACATTACGATTCATAACAGTAGCAACATTACAGTTATGAAGTAGCAACGAAAATAATTTTATGGTTGGGTCACAACATGAGGAACTGGATTTGAAGGGCCAGAAGGTTGAGAACCACTGTAAGACCCAGGATGGAGCTACCCTGGCCCATGAACTTAGAGATAACTCTCATGTCCTTGTTAATGCTCTGCTTGACCAGAAGCAGTTTATCCAGTCAGCCAATCCCAAAGGCCAAGCCAGCTGGGCTTTATACTGACTCCTTGTGACCTCTCACCCCAAATGAGGTGGCCCAAGCCAACCAGATAGTTTCCCAATTTCTTTTTCTCGTCCTTTATTTTTTATCCTATAAACGCTTCCTGCCTTTTGCCCTATTTGGCAGTTCTCTGAAAAGATACTGCTTCATGAAGTGTTAAATAGTTTGTATCACCTAAATTGTCTTTATTCCTTCCCTCCTCCCTCCCTTCCTCTTTCCTTTCTTTCTTCTTTCCTCTTTTATTTATGATGATCTTTTTCACTAAGGGCCCCATAGAGCAAACGTCAAACATAAAACATTTCTAAAATCATATTAGATGCAGAAATGCACATTTTTATAATTTATTTCTTATTAATACATGCGGATTTCTTTTTTCATTAATCTTTAAGTAAATTGTTATTACAGGGAGATATGTCATATTTATTCTACTGTTTTCAATACTCACCAAATCAGTATATTTTATCTCAGTTTTAGGACCATAATATAATAGCTCATTTAATGCCCCATAGCAGCCATATATAGAGTATTTTACAGAGAGAGGGTGTTTGCAGTTATTCCTGGGAGCCTCTTCATGTTATTATCTTTGTCCACCATATTGAATCAGTTGCAAATATCTAGATTTTTACTTTTAAGTCATCCATTTCCACTGCAGTTGTCTTCATTCAGGGCTTAATTCCTGCCACCTAAATGCAAAACCTATTTACTAAATTTGTTTCTCTATTCTCTAATATGATTTAACAGTTACAAATTACAATCAGAATTGTTTTCCTCCATCTTTGTTTTCTTTGCTGGAATTTAACAGGACACAACGTGAACTTTAGATGACCTAAATTCCTGACTGCAGCTTAGTTACCTTGATACCCTTTGATATTCTCCACGCACACATTATTAACGAAGTGGAGGCTCTTGCCTTGGAAGTAGATTTCAGCCGGTATATCCTTAAGAAGGTGCCAGATTTATTTTGAAACCTGACTAATGTTTCCTCTCTACATTTTTAAAAAATGAGATAAATCTAAGTAATTGTAATTATCCAGCGTAATCTAGATACTCTGTTGCTATAGGACCTTTTCAACCCTCAGTTTTAGCAAAAAACAAGAGAAGCTCAAATAGAACTGACTATAGAGTCGCCAGGATATAGATCCTAATCCATATCGGACACTGGAACGAGAGAGGACTAATTTGTTTTCTAGGAATATGTAATCATGCATTTACGGAGCAACGGTTAGCTTGCAAATCTCTTCGGTCTTCTCTACTGTTAGCAATAACTTGTCAAAGAGACTCAGATTTTAAAAATCTGAATAATTGAGGTGGACATTTACGTTCTTTCTTTGAAGAGAAAATATTGAAAGCATATTTATCAAGCGATAAGAATTGAATTTCTGCACATACATGATTAAGTAGATTTTGAATAATATTATATTGTCAGGCACAAGACCACATTATTCATACTAAAAGGCAATTAGTATTTTTAGCAAATCTGAAAAGGTACTATGAACCTGAAATCATTTTGTATTAACCTCATGTATTGGATTCAAGATAATTTCATGTGTAATTTAAAACAACATGATATAAATTTACACTGTGATGTTTACATTTTACTAGATCATAGTTTCTTTTAGTAAGCTTTATCTTTCCAGAAAAATATGTAAGCTTTATGCATAGATATAATTTAAAATGTCTGCTATTACTGTCAACTGATTTAAAAAAACCCTTGAAAGTGTAATTAACTTAAAATGTTACTAAAAGCTAAAGTGTATCATTTAAGCCATCGGTATTTAGCTTAAGTATGGGCGAGGTTCAAATGAACTGCATTCTTATATTCTGTAAACAAAACACATATACAATCTTGACAAATGTTGGTTCCATAATTACATTTAATCCTTTTGGTATTGGTGTCAGCAATTTAGCATGCTTAAGGTTCTAATAGAGAATGCAATTATTTGACGGCAAAGGTAGAAATAAAGCACACAGATAAATCTTATAAATTCTGTTTTTGAAAAGATGACAAAATTCCCATTACTTTCCCTCTCCAAATGAAAGAAAAATCAAGGCAGCTTCTAAGTAGTATTATATCTTTAGGCAAACTGCTATCATATTTTTTTTTAAATTAACAAATGTTGCTCTCCTAGTTAGTATATTAGGATACATCTTACAGACCTGTTCAATCCTTGGTTACTTTGAAGACTCTGAAAAGGTGATGTAGTTCAGATGAGCATTTCCACTTTTCTGGGGGAGCAGAGGTTGGCCTTGCCTATTCATGACAGACTGCTTGGTCCGTGGTCACTGTGAGGCAACTGTGGCCTCAGAATCGCATCTGTCCTCTTACTCCACTCAACTATATTTGGTAACTGAACTCATGTTTCCTCAGACTGCCACCATCAGGAATTCCAGCAGTGAGCTGGGAGGCAACCCCAGGTCTGAGGGATGGGTTCTTAGAAATTGAAGGTGCTTAGGGTAGAAAGAATTTTTTGTGAATCTAATAAACACAGGATTTATTCTTATTCCTCTACACCAGTGGTTCTCAACCTTGGCTGCACATCAGAATCACCTGGGAATCTTTTTAAAATCCTGATTTCTGGGCCTCATCCTCCGGAAATTCTGTTTCTTTGTTATGGGGTGGGGCCACAACATTAGTAACAAAGAAACAGAATTTCCGGAGGATGAGGCCCAGGAATCAGGATTTTAAAAAGATTCCCAGGGGATTCTGATGTGCAGCCAAGGTTGAGAACCACTGCTCTACACCCTGACGTTGTGTCTGAAATTCATCACCTTTCTTTTTAACATATTCTTAATCAATTGGAAGTACAGTAAGCGGTTCTCAGGAGGAAGTGTGACGCTCATAAGGAATGCTTTTCTTACTATAATTTTCAGCTCAGTGCATTTAACTTTGAGTCATATGGTAGATTCTCCTAAAATAGTAAATCCAGCAACTATTAACAAATTTAGCCACTTGTCAAACTGAGTGAAGAGTCCACTGCTTTTTTTTAACTTCAAATTGTTAATTAACAATTATTATATGACTATGATGTGTATTAAAGACATAGTTCATAATAGGATTAAATAGACAAACATACAGGGAATGGATTTTACACACATTGCAGCATTGAGTTCTTAGCCCAATGCCTGTCCCATCATGAGTATCCAACAAATATTTGTTGAAGAAATAAATAAATGGCGAGTGAGTATTTTTCAGGACCAGTATGGATCCTCTTATGGTTGCAAAAAATTGTTCACAACCCCTTTATTATTCTGTAGAATCTCATTGTAACATACTTTCACATTTTGAACTTCCAAGTAACAAGTATCTATGACAAGAACAGGTCAGTTAGCAGAGCCAAATCTAAGGGGCAGAAAATAATCATACACACAAAACCTCCCTGGTAAGTTCACTTGGACATGAAGTGGTGCATCTTCCTTTGTCTAGATCAGCGGTTCTCAACATGTGGGTCGCGACCCGTTTGGGAGTCGAACGACCCTTTCACAGGGGTCGCCTAAGACCATCGGAAAACCCATATATAATTACATATTGTTCTTGTGATTAATCACTATGCTTTAATTATGTTCAATTTGTAACAATGAAAATACATCCTGCATATCAGATATTTACATTACGATTCATAACAGTAGCAAAATTACAGTTATGAAGTAGCAATGAAAATAATTTTATGGTTTGGGGGTCACCACAACATGAGGAACTGTATTAAAGGGTCGTGGCATTAGGAAGGTTGAGAACCACTGGTCTAGATAATACCATTAGAGTTGACTCAGTTTCTAATCTAAAGAGCACAGAAGATGAAAAAGATGAGGCACTGGGAGAAATTTCTGGGACCTGGATCAGGGAAGGGAGCAGAGGCTTCAAATGTATCTAGTGCTAGTTTCCTAAAAAATGGTAATGATAGGAATATGGAAATATAGTAACATCTGCTACATCTTGATATTGATGTGAATGTCTGTTATATTGATATCTGTACCTATGATGTTTAAAAATTTCATAATAAAAAATTAAGCAAGGCATCTGTTTCATCCTAAGTCAAAATGAATGTGGAAGAGATTCTAGGAATAAGTAACCTCTGCATGATATTACCTTAGTTATGGAAAGCATTGCTGAGATTAATTAGGCAAGTGGTTAAAAATACCATAGGAACTATGAATATATTAACATTATTATTATTACATTTAAGATAAATGGGTGCTAAGCATATGACTCAACTTTCATCTCAATGTTCTAACAGATTTTATTGTTATATTAATGGAAAATTATGTAAGAGCCATCAGTTTGTTGTTTTTTTTTCCCCCCCTCTTTGGACCAGACTGCATCCAGGCAGTAACTTGTAAATCCCAGGTTCATTTTACAACCTCACCTAAATTGTGCGCTGAGGACACGCACACTCATGCTGCTATTTCTCTCTTACTAAAACATACCCAGGAAGATACATATTCTAGAAATTAGTAACTCACCTTTTCTTGTTTTTGTGTAGTCATTCACAAATGAATGAAAATACGATTCCCCTTTCTCTTTCCAGGAAGTATAGCCCAGTTTCATTATGTTTAGTGCTCCTTTGTTACAGGAGAAAATGGACACCTTTTGAAGAAATGAAAAATTGAAAGCAGCATGTGCCATTGATTTGTATGGATGATTGAAATCATATATTATTGGATTATCTGCTGGAGATGGGGGATGGTGCTTCTACAGGACGATGCTGGTCCAGCTTGGGACAGCATAGGATTATTGGAACCAGGAAGGACAGAGGAGTGGTGGGTTTGATAATTGGCCATAACACTGAGCAGGGTCTGGGCATAGAAGCCTGCTGCTGAGCATTCAGCATCGTGACCTTGGGAACTGCAGTGAAAGAGGTGGATCCCTCTCCTTTCTAGCAGGCCATGGGGTCAGAACAGGAACCTCACCATGAATCTTAGGATGCTCATGTTGGCCTGACCAGAAGGAGGCCTCTCCCACATTTCTCTGGAATGCCTGGTTCCTAAATCTTGCTATGATACCAGGAAAGTGATAACATTGTAAGAAGAAAAAAAAAAAATATAGCCTGTGGTCCTCAGGAAGACCTTAAAGCTAGATATAATTTTATTAAAAAAGATAAAGAAATGTGACTTTTCTGGTATATGGTGAGTAGTACAGCAAACCATGCTTGTTTTAAAAATATTATAAGAATCTGAAAAACAAAAGTTATTTTCCTTATAACTGTTTCTTGGCCAAGGCTCTTAAATTATTATATCAAGTTTTCAATTGATATTAAAGGTGTGATTAATGCAGTGTTATAGTTTGTTATGCACTTTTATACCCCTTTTGTGCATCTAAGATTACAAAGTAAGGTCAGTGACCCTTTCACTGGGTCTCAGTTCATTTTCCAAATGATTACTTCTTCTTAGGAAATTTTCTGCTCCTTTGAAGAGCTTACGTTTCAGCTGCCCATCCTTCATTCACTCTTTTTCAATTAAGACTTTGGATCTAGTTGGGTTCTCGATTCTCTTCACTCTACGTACTTCCAGTATCCTGGGAGATATCAGAACATATTTGTCTGTTTACTCCACTCACTGGCATATTGGTTCTTTGAGCTGCTTATTTGTAGTGATCCTCATCTCCCTTCTTCTTCTTACAGATGACATAAATAGGCCTGCTCCACCTCTCAGCTCATGTGTCAGTTACCTGTTGTTTTATAAACATTTATTTTAAGAGTTAGTGTCTTAAGACAGTAAGTACTATTTCGCCCAGTTTCTGTGTGTCAAGACCCCAGTGGGATCTTAGTTGGGTGATACTGAATCAAGGTATCATGAGATTATAGTCAAGATGTTGCCCACAGCTGCTTTCATCTAAAAGCGTGACTGGGGCTGGAGGATCGACTCTCAAGGTGGCTCACTCATGTGCTTGGAAATGTAGTGCTGTTGGCAGGAGCCTTTAGGACTTCTCCATATCACTGCTTGCATCTCCTCCCATCATGGCAGCTGCATTTTTCCAGAGTGAGTGAGTGATTCAAAAAGGAGCAAGGCACAAGCCACAATGTCTTTTATGACCCATCCTTGAAGGTCGCGTTCCATTTTTCTGCACTATTCCTTGGTTACTTAGGTCAGCACTATTCAACCTGGGAGGGGATTCCATTGGGGCATGAGTACTAGTTGGCAAGACCATTGGAGGTGATGTTGGAGGCTGTTTGCCACATGTTTACTCCATTAGCCACTTAGACATGCTCCTATAGCCATGCTTCACTTTCAAAATTGCAAACTCAAACATCTCATTACTCTGTGACCACACTGATTTTTCTTTTTCATTGAGACTTCCCAGTTGTCGATCACTCTATTTTCATATTATCTATTAGTCTGCCTGATAGTGTATTGTATTAAAGACAGTATGTATATTTTTGGTAAGTGGTTTACAAACTTCCTTACAGATTATGAGGATTTTGGTTCAGAAAAATAATAGATACAAATCATCAATGCTTCTTTGATCAAAGTGGTGTAAAAAGCGGTGCAGACTTGCTCATTTGTCCTTTTTAAAAACATTTTCTCCTTCTGGTGACCCAGGAAGCCCTGAAAATACTCTGAATCTCAAGGAGCTGACCCCCCTTTCTGAACATTTTTGCTTTTCCCTCTGTACCTGGCATGGTCGACTAGCAAACAGGGATCATGGGGCAATAAATAAAATAGTAACTGAAAAATCTGATCAAGAAAAACATATATACATAACACATAGACACAGACAACAGTGTGGTGAACGCCAGAGGGAAAGGGGGTGAGGAAGAGGTAGAAGTAGGAAAAGGGGGAGAAAGGGATAGAGAAAGACTTCGCTTGGGGGGGTGAAGGGTACGTGATGCACTGTGCAGATTATATTTTATTGAGTTCTACACTTGAAACCTGTGTAGTTTTGCAAACCAATGTCACTCCAATAAATTCAATAAAAAAAAAAAATGAAGAAAGGCCCTGCCGTCATGGCTCAGTGGTTGAGCTTCGACCTATGAACCAGCAGGTCATGGTTCAATTCCCAGCCAGGACAGAGACCCAGGTTGTGGTCTTGATCCCCAGTATGGGGTGTGTAGGAGGCAGTCAATCAATGATTCTCTCTCATCATTGATGTTTCTATCTCTCTTTCCCTCTCCCTTCCTCTCTGAAATTAATAAACATATATTTTAAAAGATGGTACATTCTTCATAGAAAGAAAAAAAGAAAGACAAAACTAAAAATGGAGGCACAAAATACTTGCAGAATTGTCCTAATGGGCCACTTACTGGCCCATCTGGGAATAAGTGTCCTTCAAATCATGGCCAGTCTTCCTACTT